GGTGGGGGACGCTGCTGAGTCGAAGAGAGCGCAGCCTGGCCACCGGACCTACTTACTCGCCTTGCTGACTATTTTTATGAGTTTACAACTTTTCTAAGAACTTTTGTATACAAAGGAACTTTTTAAAAAAGTCATCCCCCTCTTATATTTAATCCAAAGAAGAAGGATTTCGGGCAATTTGGGGTTTTGGTTTTGGCTTCGTTTCTAAGTTTTTTTCCTCTTCGTTGACTTTGGGGTTCGGATACCCCCACTGCTTCGGACTCCCGAGGACCTTTTCGGCCCCCACATTAATGAGGTAGGTGCGGCGCCGGGCGCAGGGAGGGCTGAGGGCCGGTGGGACGCGCCGGAGCGGCGGTCGAGAGTGGCCCCCTAACTCCTGCCTCTGCTCCCTACCCGGCCCGCAGGCAGCCACCTGGCGAGTCTGACATGGCTGTCAGCGACGCACTGCTCCCGTCCTTCTCCACGTTCGCGTCCGGCCCGGCGGGAAGGGAGAAGACACTGCGTCCAGCAGGTGCCCCGAATAATGTGAGTGTTACCCCGGGCCGTCGGAAACCTCCGGTGGGTTTCTGTGGGTGGGGTGCGGACGGGCGGAGCCCTAGAGCCGTCAAGAACCGCCGGGCCAGGGGAAGGAGTGGCCGCCTCACGGGCTCCGCAGCCTTCCCAGGATGGCTTCCGCGCCCTTGGCTCAGCTGTACATGCGTGTGGTCCGGACGCTGTGGAGCCGCCGGGGGCGCACACCGGGTCCGCACACGTCCCGGAGCGCGCAAGCGGCAGGGCGGGCGTTCGGGCCACCGGGCGGGAGGTGTCTGTGTCCGCAGACACTGGGATAGAGAGAGCTTGGCGCGTAGGCGTCCCCATGGCAGGGGCAGACAGGGAGAGCCTCAGTGTCCCAATTCCGGGGGCGGCGGGAGCGTCCCCGGGATCTGTCGGGGGAGGGACCCGGGCTGGCGAGTTATGGCGCTCGCTCACACGCAACCGGGCAGACACAACATAACATTCTCCATATCGACGCACCGCCTCTTCTCCGGTCCGGCTGTGGATCGAGCTTGCGGCACCGGCACCCACGGTCCCCGGGCGCTTCCTGCCCGCCGGGTCCGCGTGTCTGGGCGGTGTTGGCGCGGCGGGCCCACTAGGTCGGGGGACAGTCTTGGACAGCACTGACGGTCTCTCGCGTCGTGTCCCCGCAGCGCTGGCGGGAGGAGCTCTCCCACATGAAGCGACTTCCCCCGGTGCTTCCCGGCCGCCCCTACGACCTGGCGGCAGCGACCGTGGCTACCGACCTGGAGAGCGGCGGAGTCGGTGCGGCTTGCAGCGGCAGCAACCCGGCGCTCCTACCCCGGAGGGAGACGGAGGAGTTCAATGATCTCCTGGACCTGGACTTTATTCTCTCCAACTCGCTGTCCCATCAGGAGTCAGTGGCCGCCACTGTGTCCTCATCGGCATCAGCCTCATCCTCGTCTTCCCCGTCGAGCAGCGGTCCTGCCAGTGTGCCCTCCACCTGCAGCTTCAGCTATCCAATCCGGGCCGGGGGCGACCCGGGCGTGGCGCCGGGCAGCACGGGCGGCAGCCTGCTCTATGGTCGGGAATCTGCACCTCCTCCCACAGCTCCCTTCAACCTGGCGGACATCAACGACGTGAGCCCCTCAGGCGGCTTCGTGGCCGAGCTCCTGAGGCCCGAATTGGACCCAGTGTACATTCCGCCGCAGCAGCCGCAGCCGCCAGGTGGCGGGCTGATGGGCAAGTTTGTGTTGAAGGCTTCTCTGAGTGCCCCTGGCAGCGAGTACGGCAGCCCGTCCGTCATCAGTGTTGGCAAAGGCAGCCCGGACGGCAGCCACCCGGTGGTGGTGGCGCCCTACAGCGGCGGGCCGCCGCGCATGTGCCCCAAGATCAAGCAGGAGGCTGTCTCCTCGTGCACCGTCGGTCGGCCCCTAGAAGCCCACTTGGGCACTGGACCCCCTCTCAGCAATGGCCACCGGCCGCCTGCTCACGACTTTCCCCTGGGGCGGCAGCTCCCCAGCAGGACTACCCCCACCCTAGGTGCCGAGGAACTGCTGAGCAGCAGGGACTGTCATCCTGCCCTGCCGCTCCCCCCGGGTTTCCATCCCCACCCCGGGCCCAACTACCCACCCTTCCTGCCCGACCAGATGCAGCCGCAGGTCCCGCCGCTCCATTACCAAGGTCAGTCCCGGGGATTCATAGTTCGGGCTGGGGAGCCCTGCGTGTAGTGGCCCTTAGGGGCTCACGGAATGATGCTGACCCCACCTTCTTCACCCCTAGAGCTCATGCCACCCGGTTCCTGCATGCCGGAGGAGCCCAAGCCAAAGAGGGGGAGAAGGTCGTGGCCCCGGAAAAGGACGGCCACTCACACTTGTGATTATGCAGGCTGTGGCAAAACCTACACGAAGAGTTCTCATCTCAAGGCACACCTGCGAACCCACACAGGTAGGAGGACTAGCCGCCAGGGGGTGGAGGGGGGGTTGGTGTCCAGCCTCATCGGCTAAGTATGGACGCTCCTCAGGGCCTCCCTTGGGATGTGGGGCGCAGACTATCTCCTCCATCTCCTGGATCACAGGAGAGAACAGCAAACCGGCGCCTACTGTTTTGCCCAGGAGCCTTTTGCTTGGCGGATGGTATCAGTGCTTGAATGTGCAGTTTTGTTGGGCCTTTGAAAGGCAGGGAGATTCCCGGGCTGCATATGGGCCTCTTCTAGCTTGAGCAGAGCATTGCCCTTGTAATCAAGAAATTATACTTTCCAGTGCAAAAGCACGACAGGTTTTTAAAATTTAATTTTCTAGACTGTATTGGTTGTTTCCTTCCCAGATTCTCTCCCCTCTCCTTCTAGTCTTAACAGGTTTTATTTAAATGTTATTTAAATCTCAAGGATTTAATGGTTAGGATTGCTTAGATTCTGGTTTAAGATCATCACTGCAGGGAATTTCTTTGTGGACATAAGAAGGTACATAAGGTCACTAAGGGATGGCACTCATTAAACTAACAGAAATGTGGGTACAGGAAAAGTAGCCCCTTGTGGCTTTTTAGAACCAGTTGTTTGGGGATAGGATATTATTGCTTGGCTTGGGACCGGAGAGACACACTAGCAGCCACGGTTTCTAAATTCATTTCCACGACTGTGATACCTTAGCTCGAAAGAATGAAAATGGTAGCCCCGTGTAGATTTAGGTGGTATTTGTGTTTCCTGTGCTTAATTATTTAACTTGCCGTAAGAAAAAAACGGAAAGAATAATGTATTCCTCTTTACGATCTGGAATTTAATATGGCCTTTGGAGGTATAAAGATGTTCCTGGATCCTTTAGAGTGGGGTCCTGGGGGTTGATTTAGGCCTCCCGTTTTTTTTAAATGGCCAACTCTTTGTTATTTAGCAACGGCTTCCAACGGCTTTATTTTTCCTTTTCCAGGTGAGAAACCTTACCACTGTGACTGGGATGGCTGTGGATGGAAGTTTGCCCGCTCAGATGAACTGACCAGGCACTACCGCAAACACACCGGGCACCGCCCCTTCCAGTGCCAGAAGTGCGACCGGGCGTTTTCAAGGTCGGACCATCTCGCCTTACACATGAAGAGGCACTTTTAAAGTCCCCAAACAGTGGATGTGACCCACACTGCCAGAAGAGAGTTCAGTATTTGTTACCTTTCACACTGTTTTCCCGGTGAGGGGAGAAACCCAGCTGGAAAGCACTACAATCACGGTCAAGTTCCCAAGGAGTCAACTTGTGGATGGATAATCAGGAGACATGAGGACACCAAAAGACAAATCAAAGAACAGATGGGGTCTGTGACTGGATCTTCTATCATTCCAATCCTAAATCCAACTTGAATATATATTCCTGGACTTACAAAATGCCAAGGGGGTGACTGGAAGTTGTGGATATCAGGGTATAAATTAGATCCATGAGTTGCGGGGGTTGGGGGGGAGGCCAGAATCCCTTGAATTGTTTCGATGCAATATAAGCATAAAGATCACCTTGTATTCTCTTTGCCTTCTAAAAGCCATTTTTACAATCTTAGAGGAAGAGGAAGAAATTCAGGTACAGAAAATGTGTTTTAATAGCCTAAATGATGGTGCTCGGTGAGTCTTGGTTCTAAAGGTACCAAATGAGGCCAAAGTTCTCAAACTGCTGCATACTTTGACAAGGAAAATCTATTTTTGTCTTCCGATCTACATTTATGACCTAAGTCAGGTAAATACACCTGGTTTACTTTAACCTTTTTATGCAGACAGTCTGTTATGCACTGTGGTTTCAGATGTGCAATAATTTGTACAATGGTTTATTCCCAAGTATGCCTTAAGCAGAACAAATGTTTTTTTCTATATAGTTCCTTGCCTTAATAAATATGTAATATAAATTTAAGCAAACTTCTATTTTGTATATTTGTAAACTACAAAGTAAAAAAATGAACATTTTGTGGAGTTTGTATTTTGCATACTCAAGGTGAGAATTAAGTTTTAAATAAACCTATAATATTTTATCTGAACGTTTTTGTTTTGTGTTGTTTTTCCCTGGGAAGAGCACATAACAGACACTTCAGTTTAAACCAAGTGGGTAGGCATGTGAAAAGCATACTAAAAAAGCCAGCTTTATCTCAACAGAATAAAAAACTTTTTAAAGACTGCTTTAGCTTTATGAGAGTGCTTGAGATCATCGAATTAAACTTACCTGGTTCAGGTTGCTCTTCCGAATGTATGTGAAAAAGTACATGAAAGCAGTTTCCTTATCTGAATATGAATTTCCAGGTAGAAACAGCTCAATCAGTCTTTGATTTGCTCAGTTTAATACGAGCGTAGTCATGAAATAAACATACACATTCCAGTTTCACATTTTAAAAGATCTTCATGGTTTGTCTTTAAAATTCAATGAAAATATAAAACTCTGGCCTCGCCTTGCACTTAGAACAATTTGTGTAACAAAAGAAACTTCCCATAGCAGACAACCCGGGGAACATAGTTCCACAGTGCCCTCCTGAGGATTAAAGGATTCATTTATGCTTCGTTTGTGTAACAGATACATGACTTTTAGTTACAGCCTTAAAAGAGGGCAGAACCCCAGTTTCTAGTAGATATTGAAAACTCCATCGGTCTAAAGGTAACCAGCTCCATTGTTTCAGAAGGTTGAACCTAGGCAAGAATGATTCAGTCACCAAACTGAGTGTAAAGTCAATTTAAAGTTTAAATGGTGCTTCTGTACGTTGGTAACGTATTTCTCAAGTTATTAAAACTTAAAACTGCACTGATACTTTTTGGCAGCAGATACTGGAGAATCTGAACTTCATAATAGAAAAAGCATTGTGACACTTGTTGACACCACACGTTTGTAATGGCGATGTGGGAGACTAATTAATATTGTCAAGCGGACAGAAGCTGACTGGCATTTTCGTTAGAGTGCTTATTAACTCTCCATTATACCTAGTGTTCAGAGGTGTTTGCACTGTGGGTACATTTTATAAATGGAATGAAAAACAGAAATTCATCAGAGGCTCATGGTGGATCAACACAAAGTATTTCCCTTGGCTTTTAAGAGTCTAGCACGACTGGAAAACGTGGCATGTGTCTTAGCTTAAAAGAAAACAGGTGCATCAGTAGGGTGGAATTTCATGTGGCCAAGGACGTATTCAAAGCATATTTAATGACATGGAAAAATGCTCATGGTATGTTAAGTGGAAAAAGCAGGATATACGACTATGAACAGTATGATTCCAATTGTGTAAGTTGAAATGCGTGTGCCTTGAAGGAGAGAGAGAAGCAAATCGAAAATTAAGAGAAAAGACTAGAAGGAAACACCAAAATGTCAATTCTGGTTTTCTCAGATTTAAATGTTCTAGTTTTCAAAATATTCTAAAATGAGTTTCTATTTTAAATGGAGAAACTTTTAAAAAGGAGTACAGGTGCAAATATTTAGGCTTTATTTTTAAAAAGCAATTAAAGCTATTTAAACAAAAAAGCCTGTATTCTCATAAATTTCTCTTTGTATTGAATTGTGGTTGTTGCTCTTGGAATCCAACCTTCTTCCTATACAGAGCCTTCTGGCACAAGGTTTGTGTATGAAAAGTGTTTATCAGAAGGTTGTTAACAACATATTTACTAAGTGTCTGTTATCTCAAGTAGAAGATACATCATTCATAAAATATTGACATTTTAAATGTATTCAAATTTTTCTAACATCACGAGGAAACATCACTTGCATTAACTTTTTCTAACCTGAAAGAGAAAGCGTCCATAACTAAAACGAGGAAGATTTTCCAAAAATGTAACAGGACAAGACTATTCAACTTGCGCAAATAGCTGAAGTATTTACTTTAGTACCTATCAGTTCTGAAGTCCTCGGTGTACTGTCATTACTGCATTACAGAGCCGTTCACACTGTATAATAAAGAGTACCTCATAATTCAGATGCCTGCTTATTACATTTTCCTCATGACATTTAATTTTATATGCCCTAGATTTTAACTTGTACACACACAAAGGATTAACAATAGTGTTTCCTACACATCAACAGACTTTCAGTCTCTCTCTTTTCCAGCAAAACGCCTTTTCTAGCAAAATATTCTTTCTACCCGAGAACCTATTTGACTCCTACCATCTCATTTTGGTTTGTGAAAACAAACGGGGAGCTTCGCCATCTCAAGTAGGATAGTTGGGGGGTTATCCTCTTCTGTTCAAGAGTTGCCCCAGTTTAGGACACAGCTCAGTGGTAGAGTACCTGCTTAGCAGGCAGGAGGTCCTGGGTTCAACCCCCAATACCTCCACCAAAAAAGAAAGAAAAAGAAAACTGCCTTAAGCCATGGAAACAGGTCTTCAGGGAAGTTATTAAAATAAGCAGTGGGGGTACCTGCTGTACTCTGACCTGTGGGACTATCTAAATTTAGCAGCCTACGTCAGCCACCTGTTCTGATCTGTGTCCTGGCTTCTAAAGCTCCATTCAGCACAACACACTCCTAAGTCAATCTGTAGTCATTCTCTTTATCCGCACCTTCACCCTCTCTCTCTTGTACACGCATACACACCATCCCCAACTACACAAACCCTTTTTTAATGTATTTATTATTTCATCATTTTATTTATTATTATGCATTTCATTTTATGGATATATTTCATTTCCTCATCTTTTCTTAGCACTTTCTACGCTCTGTTGTATAGTGACACGTTTTTACAGCACTAACTCAAGCTATGTTTCCCCGTTTGGTTATGAAACTCTCATTTGCTGTTCACAGCGGAGTACAGATTCAGTGTTTCATATAAAACCACCAGGAGGTCTCCACATCATGAATGCTGTGGAACAGATCATGCTCTACCTGTGAAAATGCAAAGGGACTACTGTTGTAGTCAGAGGGCTGTATGACAATTAAAAAATTTGTTTTTCACATTAAGTGAAACTAAAATGAAAGTTGGGAACTGATACCCTTTGGAAGCCTTTACTTTAAGCAAAAAAGTAAATCCTGAGTAAATTCCTTACCATCTTCTAAAAACCGAATAAATTCTTCAATCCTTCTGAAGTACCTAGAAGTTCAAAGCCCTGGTCACAGTCAGACAGGAAACCAACTGCTAAAATATTACATGAACACAGAAAATCTTTCAGGCTGATCTCTAGGCTACCATAGCCAGTTGACTTAGTTGTGGGGGAGGAAACACACAGGGTGGGAACAGGAGTGAAATCACTTCTCTGGAGCCATGTACGCCAGGAGTCCATTTTTACATTGTTTTCCACGATGCTGGTGTCATAATGTCACTTTTTCGAATTGCTTCCGTCTCTCGACACCCTAGATGAGTCAGCATGTTGCAACCCGCCCTCCTAAATGTCTTTTTCCACTTGTTCTTAAAGGAAAAGGAGGAAATAAATAGAAATCCAATTTAATAACAATGACAAGAAGTAAATTCGCACTTCTAGAATCCCTTTGACAGCTGAGCACACCTACTAGGACATTTTTCATTGACGCAACACAGTAATTACAGTGATAATCCTAGAGTACCAGGACCACTTGCCTCCCTTTTATGTGTCTTTTCATGTCTTTGTTACATGTTATCATCTAAATAGAGTAAGAAACAAGAAGAAGTAGCTCTTCATGAAAAGATAAATAAATAGATGAATGAAGCCCCAAGTGGAGACTTGACAATTATCTAAAATCAGTTAGTGGGGAAGAAGGTTTAGCTCAGCTGTAGAGCACCTGCTTGGTGTGCACGAGGTCCTAGCTTCAGTCCCCAGTGCCTCTGCTAAGGGGGGGAATAAAAGGGTTACTTAAATAATCATAAAATAAATTAGGGCAAACAGTCAAACATGTCCATTCTAAGCTATCTGAGGCCGGAAGTTTGAGTGGGCTTATAATTCCTATCTCACTTATAATATTTGAATCCGTACTAAACTGGCACTGGGTCAACTTCTTACTGAACAGTGGCCAGATCACCAGGACAGAAAGCCAATGCACTCGGGCTCCCGACCAGCATACCCATGGATAAATAGCTTTACAGGGAAATCGAAGGAACTCTAGATGCATTTGCTGAAAGCCAAGGAGACAAGTGAATTGGTACAAACCCTAAGCAGGGTCTCTTAGACACGCCAGATGAAAGGGATTTTTTCAGTAAAGACAAGCAGACTTCTTTTCTGATCCGGGTCACTTTTGGCCAGTGTATAGTCGCCCTTACTTCTGCACAACTCTGTGACGTCCATGAAGCGTTTACATGCTCCGTTACCTCAATGAATCCTCAGGACAAAAGGTAGGGGTGAGTTGTCCCTCTCTCATCCCCATTTTATGGACGAGGAAACCAAGGTTCCCTTCATAGTTTTGTGTTTTGTTTTTCTTTCTTGCTGACACACTCAAAGCATTTCTCTTTGAATGCTTTTGTCCTCAGTCCGCTGGGCAGGTAGGGCTACAGGCAAAATGGATCCACCCCGATTCAGAAGGCTTTACTAACATTCAGATTCTTCCAGTAAACTTATTTAGGCGTCAAAAGCCCCAGACTTCCCGTCTCCCAGTCAATATGCTCTTTCCTTTGTCAAGGTAGACAGGATGAGGAAGTTGCCTGCAGGAGTTTTTTTGAGCTGGTCACTCTACCATGAATATGATACTTTTTGTCTGAGGTAAAAGAAAAATGCCTGTTTCTGTCCGAGCACACAGCGCTCTTGATCAGACAGATATGGTCCAGCCCCTCCCCAATTCATCACCTTCCCAATGTCCCTAGGGCCTTGTGGATGCAGATTAAAACTGTGGCACCCCCACCCCAAACCTGTCCAACATCTGCTCCTTTAGCTCAATCACACCTTAAGTGTACCGGCCATGGCAAAATATTCTGGATGCCCCCCTGCCCAGTACTATGCCTGTTTCAGCTTCTGAGCCTTTCTTTGCAGGTACTGGTCTCTGCTGCTTCTGGTAAGACCCACACTGCCCCGACACGCACTTATATATCCTTCATTGTGAGCTCTTAAAAAGCCCCCTCCCTTCCACTGGCTCTAGATCCTTTGTACATGTTAGATTTTATGGGCTGG